AGTTTCCGTTGCTTTGCGCCCTTTTCGGGCGAGCGCGGTTTCGCGCTTACCGGCAAATGCTCCTGACTCCTTTTGCCAGGCGCCGGCAGCATTTTTTTTCCCACCGGAGTGAGAGTACCCATTTATCTACTCACGTGAGTTTTCGAACTGTTGGGTTGACAGGAACTGGGGAGGAAACAGGAGCTTTTGAGGGGCATTGAGCCATAGACCCAAATGGCAAGCTGCATATTATGCACAACTGCATCTAATGAAGGATGCACTGTACTTTTTTTTTTTAAATTATTATTAGCAAATAGCTTTGGGATTGATTGAAATGAAGCAGAAGTCATGGCTGGAGAGATGGATGCTTAATGTTTTCATTGTTCCCTTCCCCCCATGTTTTTCTCTTTATAACATCCTAGATCTGGATCCTGCAAAGTTAGTGGATAATTATTTGGGATATATGGATTTGGAGCAAGAAATTGGCAAGCAGAGAAACGTTATGTAGCTTCATTATATTTCCTGTTGTTCTGATATTCAAAATACTCCCTCAAAGCTGTTTATAAAAACAATCCACAGTACATTTTTTAAGCAGATTCCCCCCTCACCTACTTGATATTTATTTATGGTATGACATGCCAATGTATACAATCAGTTGTTTTGCCCATTGAAGTAAATTGAACTACTTCAAAGAAAATTCAGTATTCCCACCTCACGTATATTATACTGTCTGTGTGTGTGTGATTGCTGGGGACTTTTTCAAGGGAGAACTGGTACATCAGGGTCAATGCTCAACTATTTCTGCAGTGTTGATCCTCTATCTTTCCAGCTGCTTGGGAGACAGGGAGCATTTGTAGCAGGAGTCGATGTGCACAGCAAGGATACATTCAATTTTGCTGGGTTGTCAGTTCGTACTCATACTTCCTCTATCCTCTCAGTCACTTTATTTTCGTTTGCCAAGCTAATACATAGTTTTAGTTCTATTTGAATATAAGAACAGCTGATTAACAGGCAAGCTTCAGACTGAGAATCCTTGGTGATTAACCGTTAGATTTTGCTTCATCAAATCTGTTGGTCACAAAAAGAGGCACAGCTAATTTTATCAAGTTCATAAGAATAAGTTCATAAGAATCACCTAGCCAAGGAACTCCAGTGATGTTACAGGACCAGTTCTATGCCATTGCCTAATACTCATTCTAGCACTCAGGATAAAGAATGTAGATTTCTCTTTGTGTTTTGAACAGGCCTCTGAAAAGAAGCTTGTGAGCTAACTATTTTAATGTGATGTACTGTTTGAGAAATTGCAAAAACATTTTGTTTGGTAAAGACTTGGGTTTTGGTCTTGGGATTGAATTTACAAAATTATACATGTTTCTGTAATAGTTGCAGTTGGATGACACAAGAAGCTTTTAAGAGAGGGGCAATGGGGTAGGAGGCAGATATGGGTGTATGGGGATCTCTAATTGCTTCAGGGAGCTGCTCACCTCCTGCAGACTTAAAGGATTATTCAGTCCTGTGCAAACTTTGCAAGCTGTTGTGTAAAAGAAATATGCATGGCTGCAGAATTGCATAATAACGCTAGAGCTTCAGTTTCCTGCTTTACTATGCTCTTGGTATGTTTGTACAAATGTTTTCTTAGTGCATGTGCCACCTAGCTCCCTTTGTGATTTCTTTCTCTTCCCATTGCTTAGATTTTATTTAGCAAGAGAAAGAGTGTAGAAACTCAGTCATTAGATTCTACCCCAATCCTGTATTGCTGTGATGATCAGTAGCTGTTTTCCTTTAAGTGGTGATATTCTCAGGGTGGGGAAGGGAAACAGATTTGGAGTAATCAACCAAACACTGTGCTTAACATAACCTTCAGGTGCCCAAACAGGACACTACATTCTGTAAGCAGATGTAATAGAGGCAGAATAGAAATTTTATGCTGGTTATAGTTTTTTGCCAACTCAAAGTTGGATGGATAGCACTTCAACTCAGATGGGAAAAGCCTGTTGTAATTCATCTGTAAGCTCCAGTATCTTCAAGTCCTCAGTTGTGCTCTCTTACATCATCTACTTGCGTAGACACAGATCCTTGCCATTCTGATCCAGATTGAAGGATCACCGACTCTTGTAGAGCCTACCATGGATGCTTGCCCTGAGGTCCCCTTTAATTTTTTTTATAACGAGCAATATCAGGCAGCATTATATAATACAAGTATGCTTGTTGTCTTCAGTTGCCTGTTCAGTCTAGTGTAATGGTGAAATGGGATAGGAAATCATATGCCAGAATCACGTCTCATTCAAGTCTGGATGCTAAGAATAACTATGGGATCTTCCAACTATAACTAATATTTCTACAGTGCTACAGCTAACCTTTTTCATTGAATTTTATTATGAACAGTTCTTCTTTTATTTTATTTCAATTTCATTCAGATATTACTGAGTAACAAAAATTATGAAATTATGAATATCACTCAAAGCCACCTCTTTAGGGCAGGAGGTGGGATGATGACACATACATGACAATTTACTATTTATATCGCATCAGGTGTCAAGACACAAGTACGTAATGGTGGCATTTGGAGAATGATGTCATCATTCTGGCCTTGGTGCATTGTATTGTGGGTACTTTGGCCTAAAGCATCCATTTATGCAGTCCTTCTACCTTTCTGCATTTTAAAATTGTATCTGCTTAAATACATGTATGTGAATTCAGTGGATTTCCATTTGGCTGCCAATGCACTAAACCCATCACTTACTTGAAAGCAAGAGCCACAATTAATGGCACAGTTAGGAATGCTGAGATGTGAACAAATACCCACCACTTTCTGGAAGTCTGAATGGTTTCTGGGAGAAACAACATTTCTCCATTAGATGAAAATTCAGTGTTATCACTTTTCTGCAAGAAAATATTGCTGAGATAATCAGACAAGTAATCAGAGCCATATACTACAGTATGCGGTAGAATCCAAGCCTTATACTACAAAATCCATCCATTGAGTCATCCCAAAGTAAAATGTTGTTGGGCATAATTGCACATTGCTGAAAATATTATTTTGGGAGAGGAGAAGCCAATAGCATGGGGGGGAGGGGACAGAAATATCTAGATTTTCATTTTGAATTTCTGTGCTCATACAATTCAAGAGAGAGGTTCTCTCATTTCTCCCACTGTAGCTAAATTGCTAGCAGCTGGGAGCATGAGAAATGGGGCCCTGCCAAGGTCTATTCTGGAGTCTCTTCATGCTTAGATGAGAGAAAGAGGCACTCCATGTTTCCCTCTGAATTGAATGCTTGCTTTGTAGCATTGGTAGCTAATTTGAAAGACAAAACATAGGGCACATAGTCTGTCAGCTTGCCAAGGAGGAAAGACTATGCTTTGCATCCCAAGGAAGTTTTCTTTACATCGAGAATGGGGGAATGAAAGGGAGGTTCTGACGTTCTTGCCAAGGATACTTGTGATCTCTGCAGTCCACGTAGCCCATAATAAGCATGTTCACATGTTAATGTTTTCTCATGTTTACACCTTTCATTTAGGCCTCTTAGGAGACAGTTTACATACTATGTTTATTTTGTGGCAAACAATAATGCATGGCTCTCAGTAGGAACAGAAAATGAAATGGCTGCTTTCCTTGTTAGCAATCAGAATATTCTTGCTGCAAGCTAAATATAAATATGCTAGAGACAAAAAGAGATGGTGTTGTTAATATTTGTGAAAGTTTATTGAGATTCTAATCAGCTGGATTAATCACCTTCTATTTCAGACAGCTTAATTTTTAAAAAAAATCTGTATATAAAACATAACATTTTCCACTAGATACCTGATTTTGGAAGAGCCTTATTTCAATTTCAACATTTTTAAATTAAATAATTGTTGGATGCCAAGAGAAAGGAAAAGATCTCTGCATGAGAACTCAGATATCTGTTTCCACTCAGAGTAGGCAGTTTTGAAGGCAATAGGGCACTTGTCTGATTCTACTGTAAATGGCAGCCTCATATCTCTGGGAAAAATATATAATTACCAGATCACAAGGGATTTCAACTTTGTTGCTATAAGGAAATGAAAAATTTAATTTTAACCCTAACCCTAAGCTTCAGAAACTTCAATATGCAATTCTCAAAAATTAATGCTTCAAAATGTCTAAAAGTTCCTTATGGTTTAGCAAAGTCGCTTTGTCTTTCTCAGCTGTGTTCATGCAGGATGATAGTGAGCCTTGGTTAATGGAACATTCTGGACAGGACTGAAGGAAGCC